TTAACATTTAAAAAATCGTTGTATTGACTTAAGGGTAATTATTTTGATTTAAATCACAATTTTTGATTCAAGTCATTTTATTGACTTAACTCTTAGATCACGATTTAAATAAAAAATATAGACTTAAGTCATAAAAACGACTTACTAAAGGAATTAAGTCATAAGATGACTTAAATCACTTTATATCGATTTAAGAATTTGCGAAAATGACTTGACTTGAAAGAAAATGATTTAATTCAAAGACTTAATACTTAAATCATTTAAACTTTATCTTAGAATTAACTTAAGATTTAAATCATTTTGATTTTAGAATTGACTTAAGACTTAAGATTTAAGTCTTTTTAAAACTGACTTTTTGCAGATCTGCCATCATGGGGTTAGCAGACATCACAGACCAAAATAAAATCGTTTAAGAAACAAAAAAGTTATGTCGTTTTGAAAAAGGACGAACTTTTTGGTCGCGACACATTGAGTGGGGCGCAGTTTATTTCATCAAAACAATTTGATCAATGGGAAAATCGTTCTCCAGTCTTTTTTGCTGCAGTCAATTTGGGACCTCTAGCTAGCCTTTTTGGGGTTAGGTTGGCTGCCTTTAGGCGTCTTCTTACTGTCCAACGGATGACTACTACACTACGAACTATCTCGGCTCTTCTGTAAGATCTACACCGGTAAGTTCGATTTCTTAATATTCTCGTGACAAGAAATCGATCGTTCCCCAATGAGGTTTCTTGGTATCGACGATTAATTCTTAAGACGGCTGACTGACTCATATTGACACCGTTCTCTGTCTAATATATAAGGCCCTCTCTTAATAATTAATAATGCATGTACCTAAACTGCTTTGGTGCTAGACTTGTCAAGATTGATACAGTAGGCAGAAATGCGAATGCAGCTAGTCGATTTTTTTGCAGCTAAGTAAAGTATCTTTTTGCATTTTGTAATGCTTAAAATATGTTTAAAAGTTAGTCCTACAATGTATGATACATGCTCCCACTGTCGAAAGTAAAAGGTCTACAAGATATCTTATAAATATTTTTTAGTACTTACCTGAAGAAAATCTTCAGAAAGATATCTTATCGACATCTTTTGATGCTTATTTAACATATACTAAATATTCCTAGAAAGGTATTAACTAACTAGTAGATATTTTATAAAGATATCGCATAAATATATTTTGGAGGATATTCATGTATAAATATTCAAACGATATTTCCGGAAGGGGTTTTTCCGGAAATATATTCGACATAATTATGTCGAATATATTTTATTATTAATAATCATATATATTATATTTATCAATATATTGCGTGCGACATCGCCTTTTTTTGACAAACCCTAATGATATACAGGGTGCACCAAGTTTCCTTCTGTGTATACTCAACTTACGCAACTTTTCTTCAATTTAACCGATCTTATAGCTCTTCAAATAAAAAAAAATATCCATACACGGAAGGATACTGCACCCTGTATGTACTTTAGGGTCTGCCAAAAAATATCGATATCGTTTTTTTCGCACTCACAAGAAAATTTCGTAGAAAACATCGAAATAAAAATTGTATCCACCCTTAGTTTTAATTTTAAGAGGTCATCATCGAGTTTTAAAATTTCCCTGCTTTCTTTGTAGCCACTTTTTTTCTTCATATTAATGATAAATGATAAATGATTTAATTTTCAAAAAAAAAATCATAGAGTCAAGTTTCTATCGTTTATATTTTACTTACTAAAGGACTTAAATCTGAAGATTTATAAAAATTACGTAATAGTTAAAAAGCTATGGACCCACCAAATCTCATTTTTATAATTTTTTATTGTATTAGATTTATCTAATACAATAAAAAATTAGTTTATAAACTATTAATTATAATTACTTGTTTTTTTATAATTATAGGTCAAAAAGTTAAAAAGCAATTTTATAGTACTATGTTTTACACCCAAAAGTCCCACCTTGACATTTGAATATAAATAATTAAGGTTATGTATCTGTCAGTTTAACGCTAATTTCGTCTTATTTTCTGAAAATTATACAATTATGTATTTTTTAAGATTTTGCCTACTGCAGTTTTTTTATAGGTATGAGAGAGAGAAAGTTAGTTTTTAGTTTTAATAAATATAAATTCATTTGGTTTATTTATTGTTAAAACTACAGAAGATCTTTATCAAATTTCCCAAAATAAATAATTAAATCCTCGTTTAATAGTATTTTCGAATGTTTTAATAACACCTATATTCTCTAATGTATAAATGTATAAAACACACTGTTTTTTAAGTTTTAAATGTTTATTTTTATTTTACAATTGTTTCCCTAACACGGTAGCTTTTTCAATAATGATTTTAATAACATAATTTAATTAACAAAATAATTTCAGGTAATGTTTTTATTTTATTTTATACTAAGTAGAAGAACTTACCAGTTCAATATATAACAAATGTAATAAATGTATCGTATGTAATATTAGAATAAATATAACAACGGGGAAGAACAATGATTGGTATGAATTTTATTTATTTAAAAAAGTCGGCATCTTCCGAAAATGTTAAAGATTTTTATTTTTTCTATGAATTCACTAGTTGGCTTTTTTTAAGTGTTATTACTTGCCGACTGTAGCTCTAGCTAATTTCGACCAACAGCCATATGTAATAGACGAAAGAGTTAACCCATTTAATTTGGGAAGAATTTTAAAGATTATTGGAAAGTAGGAAATTATAGAAAGATCTTCTGTAGTAATATTTCAAACAATAAATGGACAATTTGCAGCAATTTTCCAGAAATTCGGCTAAACAAGGTTAAAACCACTCGTTTGACAGCTGATTATTAAAAGTTGTAGTTTTGTTACGATGATAACGGCCACTTGGTGGCGCTACTAGCGATGCTTCTTTAGCGTATAACTTTTTAACTATTATTGATCAACAAATTTGTAGGGAAAAATTTTGTAGAACTTATTTTTAGAAATTTTCATTTTCTAAGTCCTTTTGGAAAAAACTTAAATGTGAGCTAAAAACCGATATTTCCTTTTTTGGAAAACCTTAGATCCATATACTATACATATTTTTGTATGAATAATATATTATCCATTTAAGAATATACAGGGTGTTTCACATTAGTGGTACATTAAAAGTTTCTGAGGAATGGAAAAAGGTATCGATTTATAATTTATAATCCATTTAAATCTATTTTTCTAAAATATTTTAAACAAAATGTCACTTCCGGTTAAACCGAAAGTGTCATCAACTTTGTTATTTCAAATAGAACACCCCATATATTTTTACATTTTTAAATTCTACATAAAATTTTGAGTAAAATTACCATACCATATCCTATACCTAAATTGAATAGTTTTCGAGTTATTATAACTTTTTTGTTGTTTGCGGATATGTCGGTGGAATTTTTTTAATTTTAAAACATTGTTTAAAAGATTCCATGTCAATTATTTAAGACTTTTTAACAACTTACCTGAGAAAACCCAGGGCAAATTAGGCTAACTTTAAAGGTTTATAACATATTATTTTAAATGTAACACCCAGTATGTTTTTACATAATCAAATATTAAATGAAAAACCTTTCGATTTATGTTTAACATTGATACTATTCCCTATCTCTAAAGTTACTATTCCCTATCTCTAAAGTTAATAATTCAGAGGTATTTAACAATTTCTAAAATTTTAAATATTATTTTGTATCAAGAAACCTGGGACGGGTAAGTTGGCGGTATATGTCATTGTTCAAAATTTAATGACGTCAATTTTTTCTGTTTTAAACAACATTAATGATAAAAAATATACATTTCAAAAGTATTTGGTAATTTTGAAAAAAACTCAACAAAACACTCAAAGTAGAATGTCAACTAGATAAAGCACTAGCTCATTGAAGACAATAGAATATAAAATTTATTTTATGAAATATTTTAATAAAAAAAAATGCGCAACTGTAAAAATTTAATAAACCAACAATATTTTAATTAACAATTTGTATTACTAAATATTTAAAGTGTCCCCCATTTCCATTTAAGCGTTTCTTAATTCTTATTCCTATAGACGTTGCTCTTCTTGACTAAAATATTATTGGATTATTAAATTTTTACAGTTATACATTCTCTTTATTATTAAAATATTTCATAAGTTGAAATCCTACAGTTTTATTGATTTTTTTCTCAATGTTTTTATTTTAAAATATTTGGGCTGTCTACTGTGCAATTTTTTATCAGTAATTTTTTGTACAAAAACAAACTTAGTCAACAATAATAACAACCTAAAAAAATTGAGTCCATTAAATTTTGAACAGTGACAAATTACGTGGTAACCATTCTTGAACAAAAATAATTTTTAAAATTTTAGAAATTGTTAAATATCTCTTAAATTATTAAATTTACTAGTTAGAATTATTGAAAGGTTTTTTAATTTACTATTTGATTATGTAAAAAAATACTGGGTGTTATATTTAAAATAAAAAAGTTATTAACTTTTCAAGTTAGCCTAATTTGCCCTGGGTTTTCTTAGGTAATTTGCTAAAAAATGTTAAATTGACAAGAAATCTTTTAAACAATGTTTTAAGACTCCAAAAATTCCACCCCCATTTTCGCAAACCTAATAAAAAAAAGTTATAGGCTATTCTTGACAAAAAAAATAATAACTTGAAAACTATTTACTTTAGGACATGGTATAGTAATTTTACTCAAAATTTTATGTAGAATTAAAAAATGTAATTATATTTGGGGTGTTTTATTTGAAATAATAAAGTTGATGTTACTTCCGGTTAAACCGGAAGTCGCATTTTTTTCAATATATATTCGAAAAATAGACTTAAATAAAATATACAGGCTTTAAAAATTAAAAATATAAAATAAATTAAAATCGATATCTTTTTCCATTCTCCAAAAACTTTTAATGGACAACGAATAGGAAACAGGAAATAACGTTTAAAAATGTTATAATATTGATTCCTATCCTTTAAGACTTAAAGTTTAAGGGAAGGGAAAACAAAGGAATCAGAAAAAATCAGTAAATATAGTAAAATAATATATTATTATTATTAATAATTAGGGAATTCACAGCCTTCATATTGTATGGCAACATTTATTATGGCAATAAAAAAATAAAATTAAAACAAAAATAGCATCATTTGCAATATATAGGACTACTCATATTATTATTGTTAATAATTATGGAATCCACAGTCTTTAAATTGTAGGGCAAGATTTATTAAAATAAAATAAAATAAAAAATAATCCTAAATACCCTGTAAGGTTTATAGTCCTAGAAGGAGCTGCTCGTCCTCCTCATTTAAATCTTCCAGTTTAATGTCTACAGACGAGACCTCGTCTCCGCCATTTTTTAAATTGGTTTCGGAGATGGAGCTGACTTCCGGCTGTTTCCACGACGGGCTGGTTGTTAAAGCTCGTCCAACGGCTTGCTTAATTAGATGTTCCCCCCTGGGGTCTGTTAAGTTTGCGAATTTTGGCACCTTCAGCAGTACCCCTGCAAAAATAATGTGTCAAAAAATTCTAAAAATTTACATATTTTATGCCAATCATTTCCCAACGCGATAGCACACAAACTGCATGAAAACAAAGACTTAAGTAGAGTTATTTTTGGCCAACTTCGTTTGAAATGAAGTTTGGTCGAAAAGCGTTTGTAATGCAGGTTGATCGAAACTTGGCAAATAATTGATCAGCATGGAAAAAGAATCAGTTTACTATGCGCAATAACGAGGTATATAGGTACGCAGTAAAATGTAAATTAATATTTCAAGATTTTCTCTACAAAAATGCGTAAAAAAGTGCTTGTGTGAAAGTTATTACAAAAAAATATAATCATCCTTGCACTAACTAATTTAAAACGTGTGTTAAGTTTTAAACGAAGTAATTAAGGTTATGATTTCAAGTTTTTTAATAAATAATTCAATTATTATACAATTTCCTAATTTTCGAAGATTGTTATTCCCTCGTTAATTTTGAAGTAATATAAATTTAGATTGGTAGTTCAATATTATGTACTTATATTTTGTTAATTGTTACATGAAGTTGTAGTGAAGAAAAAGATCTGCCTTTTTCTAGGTAAATAGTGTTTATGCGTACAAGACTTTTACTACAAGCACGACAATTTAAAAATAAACTTTCTACCTAAATGTTTTTGCATTGAATTTTATTAATATTGATTTCTTTATTTATTTTAGAAGTTCTTTATATCATATAAAGTTACCTATCACAAACAATTTTACAGTTCTTAATGTTTAATATAATAAAACATAATTCTTGATAGCCTTATCGTATTTCTATTGGGGTGAATCTTACGAAATGTCCCCCGATGGTGTTACCCCGTGATATTTAATAAAACTTAATGAGTTTGACCTACTCTTTTATTGTGTTTTGATCTTTCATAATTAAGTAGATATTACAGCTCAGGTTCCAGATTTTTAACCGCAATTAATTATCTTTTTCAATGTTTTAAAAGTCTAAAACCTATCCTCCGTGACTGTTACTCTTTCTAGGTTAACCTATGTGTTCTCAAATATCTAAGGTAGTAAAAGCATACTAAAAATATCAGTTCACTAAGTAAATTAAACACATCCAAGCAATCGAATCAAATATAAAATATTATTAAAAATTAAAAGAAATAATTTTTATAACCATTTATGTAGGTGTTACAAAAATTGATTCTTTTCTCCGTTAATCTGTTTTTGCTTTAAATTTTATGCAACGGATGCCGCTTTAATCATTTTAAATAAGCAAAACCTCTGTTTACGACATTATAGATGCATGTGATTCCTGAAGGTCAGTTAGAATTTATATGCAGATGAGAGTGTTGCTGTTTTATATTTCAAAAGTTTAAGTTTATTAATTTGCTATTTAAAATCCTATCCACCGTGAAGTGTAATATCTCAGTAATTAGATTTTTTTTACATGTACAATTGTATTTTTAAAAATTATTAAAGTTACAACAACTTATTTCAAATATATAAAGGGATGTTAAAAAAACATACGAAATCCTAACCCCCGTGAAGCTATCTTCCGTGAAGCTCTAATATTCAAAATGTATGATTTCTTAAAATTCTTGCATTAGTGCAGAACCACTTATTTTATGTTATTACTAGACCTGGTGGCTTCCCAAAAACGCCATTCTAGACTAACAGTGAAAACCAAAAATTAAAAATAATCATTTTCACTTGGGGGACATCTCAATATATTCACCCATATATGTAAAAAAAATCTACATTAGATTGAGTAAGTTTCAAGTAATTTTCACAAGGGGTGGTTTAGATAAAGTTCTTTTTTTTTATCTGGACTGCGGCAACGTTGCAAATTTAGGGTTTTGGTTGGTAAATACAGTTGTCAAGTTGGTCGCATTGATTAAAACAAACTAAGCTAGTTATAAATCTAATTGTGGTTATGTATAAATTATTGTAGGTTACATTGTGCAGTTGTCAAGTTGAGTTGTCGAAATTCGTAGTTAAAAATGCAATTAATTTGGCTTTGGTGGTGCTTGGATGAGTAAAATCATATAAAAAAAGTAGTTAAATATAGGTTGCTTTACTGCCCAGAAGAGAAAGTATTCCTAGCGGATAATAATCTTCGCTTTGAAAAGAATTTATATAAAAGAAATTAAATTTTTTTGTGAACGTAAATGTTGTCTAATGGTGAATAATGTGAAATTTATGTGTGATGTAATATTTATAAAACCAAATTCGTTACTTTTTTACTCCAAAAATGTCCATAATTTTTCTTCCATTGTGGCATTTGGCATAATTTCATCAAAATAAAGTTTTGCCCTCAAAAGGGCTTTTACATTCGAATTCGTTGCTATTATTTTTTGCATAATTATCTTTTAATTTATAATTGACAAGTAAATTATCAATAATAAATATTATTGTCAATTTGACTGTGTCAAAGTATTTAATTAAATTCTTTAGCAGAAGTACCATTTTTAAATACTAAAAATACCAAGTCAAACTGGCATAAGCCACCAACCTAACAAAAAACACGAGTCCAGATATAAAAAAATTAACTGTATATATTTGCCTTGTGAAGCATGGTTAAAATAAAATAGAAAAAGTAGGATGCATGAAACAAATTTAAGCTAAGGATTTGATTACGGTAAAGGAAGTGATATATAGAAATGTTATTGAATATAAGCCAAAGATTGTGGAAATTTGAATTTTAAATATGTGGTTAATGTATACATTCCCCTCATGGGCCACTCTGTATGAATATTCTATAATTTAACAAAATTATAAGTAAATATTTAGTTTTATTGAAAATTTATGTAGTTTTAATACAGTGCTCCCTATTTCGTTGTGACTAGTTTATTTTTTATTTGGCATTAAACTTACCATGTAACAGGCGAAAAAAAATTGTTTTCGTGAATACATTTTTGTTCCCTCGCGGATGGGTCGCAGTGTACAACTTCGCCACCGTTTTGTGAATAAACTTTCTTATGATGGCCCCCGCTAAAGTTGTCAGGCTCGGATTTTCGAATTTCCCAAGTTGTGCTTCCATGATTGCACCCTGAAAAAAAAAACGTCACTGTGAACAATATAACTCCATCAGATTGGCGAAGAGGTGGAAGCACCCAGTCGCCGCCATATTGACTATTTACGTTTTGATGTGAGTTGTTTTTTGAGCATTTTTTAAGTTTTTAAGTGTAAAAAATGTCTACCTGCCAAGTGAAAATCTGTAAAAACAATGGCAAAAGAAAAAACCTGTAAATCCAACAAATTTCCTTAGTATGGGCTTGAAAAAATTGATGTTAAGGATTTTCAAAACAATTAAATAGCAGTAGTTTTTTTCTGTTACTACAAAATCGAAAAAAAATTCTGCCCACCATATCCCATTATATTTTTCCCATGTATTTTGACCCACTAAACACGAAAATCACTCAATTTTTTTTATGGAAGCTTTTTGAAATATCAATCAATATTAATTGTTTTTTTTTTCAATTTTCTAATTATTCGATTTGGTCAAACAGGCCCTTAAATTGAAGGTATTTGAGCCCTCTAAAACTTTCTTTTACATACTTTTGATAAGGGATAAGTGTTTTGTCGCTAGCGATTTTTATTACTTAAAAATATTTGTTTTTATGGCAAAACTTGAGGTCGAAAATTTACATATCGTCCTGGGAAAGGTTTTTTTGTGAAGCTGACATTTTTACAAAAAAAAACAAGCTAATGTTGATAAAAATACATGGAATACATGGAAAATTTTGACGATTTTTATTTTATTTTTTTTCTTTTATTTTGTCGAAAATTTACATATCGTCCTGGGAAAGGTTTTTTTGTGAAGCTGACATTTTTACAAAAAAAACAAGCTAATGTTGATAAAAATACATGAAATACATGGAAAATTTTGACGATTTTTATTTTATTTTTTTTCTTTTATTTTGTAATGTGTTTAATAAACATTGTTTATTCTTTAATGAAAACCTAAATAAAGTGTATGATTGGAATTTTTTGAGTTTTTTAGGTACTTTTTGTTGGTTAATGGGATAAAAATAACAACACAATAATTAGTTTTAATGCAATATTTATTCTAAGTGAAAATCACTCAGAAGGTACCGTCTATACATCTCTATTACGACTTACTTAACTTATTTAAAACGAAAGAGTAGCTTTAACAATAAACCCTTATTCAGCGTTTTTAATTACTTGCCTTCTCATGATTTTGTTTATGAAACTTAATATATATCGGGGCCTTGGACTAATTTAACTGAACAGTGAAAACTAGATTGATTTTTGTTTATATTCCAACACGCCCCCTCAAAAATTAATCCAAAAGAACTTAAATACATAATTAATGAGGATAATACATTTCATCCCTAAATACTATTATCTAACTAAATAGGTACCTTCTTTGTGCACCCTGGGAGATAGTTACAATATGGTCCAGCATTTGCTGCAAGGATTAGGAAAACCCAGGAAAACCCAATCAGACCACTTATCTTACTCTAAGCCTATTTTATTTTTAAGTGTCAGAAATTTCGGCGTGTTTAAAGGCTTCGTTAGAATGTCAGCTACTTGATTACCTGTGGAAATATAATTTACTTTAATTATATTTTTCTCTACTTGTTCCCTTGAAAAATGATACTTAATGTCTATGTGTTTTGACCTTTTGTGATTTGTTGGATTCTTTGCAATACTTATACAACCATTATTATCTTCATAGATAATAATTGGTTTTAAAATATTTAAATGAATACTAGTTGCTAAAGATTTTAACCATAATGCTTCTTTAACAGCTTCGAATAAAGCCATATATTCAGCCTCTGTTGATGAGACAGCGACTGAATTCTGCCTTTTTGTATTCCAACAAATAGTACAATTTTCAAATAGTTGAAATAAATAACCTGTTGTACTTTTTCTATCGGTATTTTCACTACCACCCCAATCTGAATCGACAAAACCTACTAAAAATTCATTATATACCCGTCGTGTGTAGTTTAATTTAATATCTATTGAACCTTTTAAATATCTTAATACTCTTTTAATGCATTTCCAAAGTTCTTTATTGCATTTATTCATAAATCTACTTAAGATGTTTACAGCTACACTTAAATCGGGTCTTGTACATATCATTAAATACATTAGACATCCGATAGCGTTTCGACAAGGGGCATCATATGTTTCATCAGAATTTAATGCTATGTAGTCTAACTTACTTTCAAGGGGACTATTGACAGGTTTACAATCGTTCATGTTAAACTTATTTAAAATTGTTTTTATATATGCACTTTGGTCTAAACACATTTGATTATTATCTTGTGAAATTCTAATTCCTAGAAATAATTTAATATTTTTTAAATCTACCATTAAAAACTTATTTATTAAATAATATTTAAAACAATTCATTGTTTCACTATTTGCTGTAACTATTACAATATCGTCAACATATAATATTACATAAATATTTTTTAAAATATCCCCTCTATCTAAAATATAAAGGCATCGGTCTACCGGTGAGTTTTTAAAACCTTTTTGTTTAAGAGCTTTTTCAAACTCTTCAAACCAACACCTTGCTGCCTGTTTTAATCCGTACAAGGCTTTATTTAACTTACAGACCTGATTATTATTACTTTTGATTCCTTCAGGAACCTTCATGTAAATTTCTTCCTTTAATTTACCATTTAAAAATGCGGTTTTTACATCCATGTGATGTACTAGTAAACAATGTTGATTTGCAAAAGCTAGTACAAATCTAAAACTTGATATTCGAGCTACAGGGGCGAAAGTTTCATTATAATCTATATGATATTTTTGACTAAAACCTTTTGCTACAAGACGAGCTTTGTATTTTATTGGGTTTCCAAATTCATTATTCTTAAGAGAAAATACCCATTTACAGTCAACTATATTCTTATTTTCAGGCTTTTGTACTAAAGTCCATGTATTGTTAATTAATAGAGAATTAATTTCATCACTTATGGCATGCTCCCATTCTATTCTATCATCCCTATTCCTAATTTCTTGATAAGAAGTTGGGATACTACAGATAATTGATTGAGCACACAAAAGATAGTCAGGTATACCATCTTCGTTATAAGAAATAGAAGGTAATTGCTTAATTCTCTCACTTTTTCTTAGATCAGAGGCAGTACGCTTTAAACCTTGTTTGTCTTGAGATAAACATTCATTTGTATCGGAGTCATTCGTATTTACTACTGATTTTGACGTTAGGTCAGAAACATCAGTTTGGGCCCCAGATTTCTTTATATCTGGTTTCGCACTGTCAGAGTTATGAGACTTTACCACTGATTTTGACATGTCAGAAAGATCAGTTTTATCTTGAGGTTTTTGCAAATTAACCCCTTTACACACAGGCCTTGATATTAAATAATTAGTCTCATCCACTATAACGTCTCTGACTACAACAAACTTTTGAGATTCCACTTCCCACACTTTATACCCATTTGGTTCGTACCCTAGTAAAATACCTTTCCAACTTTTTTCTTGAAATTTTGTTTTACTGACTTTATTATGTACATAAACAGTAGAACCAAAAACTTTAAGATATTTTATGTGTGGCCTTTTATTGTGCCATAGTTCATATGGTGTTTTAAATTGTTTCAGAGCCCTAGTAGGTGTAATATTAATTAGATAAGTAGCAGTTAATACTGCCTCACCCCAAAAAACTTTTTCTAAATTTGCACCGTTTATCATTGTACGAGCTTTTTCTGTTATTGTTCTAACCATACGCTCTGACACACCATTCAACTGTGGAGTTCGTGGAATAGTTAAATGATAACTAATGCCCTTCTCCATACAATAATGTTTCATCTCAGAGGACAAATATTCTCCCCCATTATCACAGTACAAATTAACAATTTTTAAATTAAAATGACCCTCACTTTTTGCAACATAATCTTTAAAACACGAAAAGGTATCCGATTTATTTTTAATTAAATATGTTACACAATAATGAGTAAACTGATCAACAAACAAAACAAAGTAATTTTTATCATTAACCGTTGAAGGCGTTATAGGTCCACAAACATCTGAATGTACTATAAATAACGGCCTCTTTACATAATTTTTATCTTTATGTTTATTAAAGGGTAACCGAGTTTGTTTTCCTTTTATACATGCATCACATAAATTATCAGAAACTGTAATATGATCTATAAGACCCTCGTCCTCGATCATTTTTTTATTTTTTAATTCTATGAATTTATTTTTACCAATATGCCCTAATCTTTGATGCCATATTTCATAGTTTACTTGTACTGTACTAAATGTATGCGAAATATTGTTTATCGACTCAATATTTATCTTAAATTCTAAAGAAATTATATTGTTTGATGGCTTACCTTTCATTACCATCTTACCGTCTTTAGCAATTTCAACCCCTCTTTCATTAAAGAGTATTGTCATACCAGCATTTTGCATTTTCGTTACAGATAGCAGATTGTAAGGAACTTCAGGGCAGTAGAGGACATCTTCTAGAATTCCTTGAATTCCCAAATTGCTGGTAACTTCCAAAGAGCCCTTTTTAGTTGCACTTATAAATTGCCCATTTTTCGCCACAGAAATCTTCACTGGTGATAACAGGGTAGAAAAATGTCCACTTAGATCTGATCTATTAATTATATGGTCCGAGGCACCAGAATCCAAAATAAATGTAATTTTATTCATTGGATCTATATTATGCTGTCGAGTCCCAACCATAAATGCAAATCCTGGATTGTCTTCTTCATTACAATTTATCTTCACAGTTTGCACAGTTCTTTGCCTTTGTGGGGTTTTATATTCCTGCCCTTTCTTATTATAAAAGCAGTCTCTTTTAAAATTACCCTTTCTTCCACAATGATGGCACTTTAGGCCGCTTGCCTTTCTGGTACCTTTAAATTTATTCTGTTGATGGAATTTTGGGAACTGATTGTGACGTTTTGGAATGTTAGACATTTTAAAACGGTTTTCTTCGGGTGAATCACTTTTCTTGTCTATGAGGAGAACTTTTCTGCTTGTATCACGGTTTTCGTTTAATAATTTGACCTCATGATCAAGTAATCGAGTTTTTACGAACGCCAAGCTCAGGCTGTCTTCAGATAGTGTTTCAATTGCTGTTATTACACCATCGTAGGAATTCGGAAGAGTCAGCAGCAAATGTGAAACTTTGTCAGTTTCTTCCAATTTGGCTCCTGCTGCTAATAACTCACCAACTAGATCATCAAACATTGTAAAATGTTGTATTAATGACGTATCACCTTGTAGTTTCAAACTCAATAGTTTTTTTCTAAGTGCCAACTGAGTAGCTAAACTTTTGCGCTCATAAATAGTGTCCAAATTTTGCAAAATCTCTTTGGTTGTGCTGTCTTCTTTCGCAAATCCAAGAAATGAGTCCGCCAAATACTCAACCAGCATACTTTTTGCGATTCGTTCCGATTTAATCCATTCGTCGGTTAGAGGATCGGGAGTTTCACTATCTATAACTTTTATTACGTCAAGTTCGGATAAGATAGCTCTTATTCTAAATTTCCACACACTGTATTTTTCACCATCAAATGGTTTAATGTTTCTTTTTGCACTTTTGTGTTCCATTGTCTTTAACTTAAATCACTATAACACTAAACCACTAATAACTGTTTTTATTAAACTATTAAAAAGTCCCGCGCAATTTATTTATGCCACTGCGATACCTGGGCCCATAACCTGTTGGTTAATGGGATACAAATAACAACACAATAATTAGTTTTAATGCAATATTTATTCTAAGTGAAAATCACTCAGAAGGTACCGTCTATACATCTCTATTACGACTTACTTAACTTATTTAAAACGAAAGAGTAGCTTTAACAATAAACCCTTATTCAGCGTTTTTAATCACTTGCCTTCTCATGATTTTGTTTATGAAACTTAATATATATCGGGGCCTTGGACTAATTTAACTGAACAGTGAAAACTAGATTGATTTTTGTTTATATTCCAACACTTTTTTCATCAAAAACATTATTCATTTAAATTTAAATTTGATATGACTCCGCAAACGTGAATTCTTTTGTTTCTCGTGTTGGCATAGTGACATTTTACTGATATTTTTTGATATTTCAACAAGGTATTTTTATCATGGTTTTATTTAGTTAATAAAAAGTGTAAAATGAGTAAAAGAAGTAGAGTATTCGAGTGTGTAAATAAAACGCACAATCTGGGCGAGGTAAATGATGAGCACAGAGAACGTTTTCACCAGCAAATGAAGGCTATGGGATGCATCCATGATGGGTGATTACATTTGGTATTTCTCAGAAAGATATGTAAATTTTCGACCTCGATTTTTGTAAAAAAAAAGGACTTTTTCAACTTCATAAAATCGCCAGTATCGAACTACTGAACCGATACCAAAACTATACAAGAGAAAGATGTAGAGGGCTCAATTACCTTTGATTTAAGTGCTTGTTTGGTCAAATTAGAACTCGAAGTATACTCTAAAATGTCAAAACACCTCAGAATATTAAAAAAAAACAATTGAAAATTTATTTCTTTTAGTGAGCCAAACTACACAAGAAAATGATATTGAGTGACAGTGATACTGAAAAATATTTTTTAACAAATTTGTAGGGCCAAAATTTCCTACAAAATTGTCATTTACGTTTTTTATCTACAATCAATAGTTTAGTCTCCAAATACAATTTACTGCTATTTTACAGACTTGCTTAAATGGACATTTTTGAAGATAATTTCATCCTGTATAAAGACTTTAGAACCGAAATTCAAAAAAAATATTCTTACTGTACGAGCGGAAGAAGAAAATAATGTAAAGGGAAATATTTAAAAATTGAATAGCAACGGCTTAAAATAAAGATTAAGAGCTTTGTAATAGCTCAAAATTTTGTTTTTTTGACTGGTTACAAGATTTTCAGGTGGGACTTTGAAAAAAATGTCGCTCTAAAATGAAGCACCCTAATGAACCATATTCAAGAAATTATTTAGTATACCTATATTTATATAACCATATTAACAACACACTCTTCCAAATAATCCCAATATCTATTTATTTTGGTCAAAATATATTTATCCAACCTTAAAATTACAAACCTAGATGATTTTTTTGTTATAATATAATATATTATATTAATATACCTTTGATGCAGATATTCTTATTCCATAACAGAGAAGCTAGATTTTTTTTTAATAAATGCCCTTTAGTTAAAACTATTTTATGGACTATTCCACTAATTACTTTATGGACCAATCAGATTTCAGAAAAAGAGGGTTTATCTTCAGTTTTGCAGAAAACCAGATATGTGGACCAAATGCACAAAAATATTACTTATTTAGCACCAAACAGTTTAAAATTTCATTAAATGCAGTGTTCATATTCCTAAATTCTTAAACCAACCATTGTTATTGTGATGTTATAAAGATTTATAAATTTTTAACGCTTAAACATAATATTATTTCTTTCATTGACTATACTTTGACAGATACATAACCTGAAAAGCCTTAAATGCCAAATTTTCAAAAGACTGCGTTCCGTACGTAGTCACGTGGTGTGGAGCATATAATAATAATAATAATAATATAATATAATAAAAATATATAATATAATAGTACTATGGTGTGAAACTTACTATCACCGTCTGCAACTGCGAGTCCTCTCTTAACTTGCTGTCGAACCGCTCGAATTCCGTTAGTGTCACGAACGGTATCGCCTCATTGATAGGTGGCGGTGTTAAGAGCGTAGGACCATTGCTCGTTGTGTTGACACGACTCTCCAATAAACTTGTTACATATTTGATACTCTCTTCGAGTTTGTCCAGTTTTCGAGCTTGGTTTTTGAGTTCGTTCTCGAAACTGCCCAGTTTGGGATTCACCAAATTCGTCATGATTTTGCTGGCGTCTGTAACATAAAAAATAGTATGCTAACGCTTCCCAAGTTACGAAAAGATTAAGATTTTTTCTTGCTGTTCACCATCGATTTCTTAACATGTTTGTTCACCCAACGACAACCCAAACATCACCTATGTTTAAAGCTATTCCATTTCTCGTATGTTTAAAGGTTGGACCTTGAATCTTTCTGAACAGAGATAAATGTTTTTAGAACAGAGTATCTTAGTTTTATAACCTTAAAGTCGCAGATCGTAAACTAAAATTGTGTAAATTATTTTAAAAATCATTGGTGATATTTAATATATTAAATGAAACTGAACTGGCCTAAGTACAGATTTGCTGTCAGGGCCATTAAGTCCATCCTTAAATGGAAAAGGGTAATCTTAAAATATTTTAAATTAATTATTTGTTACTTATTTTTACACAGACTTTTAGTGACTTGAAGGCCCATGTAAGGAAAAGAGCAAGGATAAATTACTAGCAAACTCTTGAACTTGGCATGCCAAGCATTGCATTGACCAGCCTTTAAGGTCAACACAGGCTTTATGGAAGGGCCCCTTCTACAACATAGAGGCAAAAAGAGGCCATGAGAAAGTCCAATTCAAACTCTAATGAGTAGCAAAGGTGTAGAGTGTTCTTTGGTGTAGAGGTTTTAAAAGGTATTGATAAAACATAAAAGATTCTAAAATTGGACAAAAAAGTTTTAGCTCCCTTTTGAAGAAAAAATTTGAGATGAGTTTTTAGATGCATATTTTTTTGTATTTTATTAGTTTATATAATTTTGTTTGACTAATTTTTTGTCTTTATTTTTGTATAATAATATTACATTATTTGATATTTTATATTTGTTGTATTTTTTGAATAAAATATATTTTTTTCAAGTTATTTTTTATATATATATATTTTATTGTTTCGACCTTTACTTGATGAAACTCCATGTCACTAATATATAACTGGATAAAAAACAAACACTGTTTTTGAGTTTCTTGAATTTATTTAAATTTTATTTGACAATTGTTTCGCTAACACAGTAGCTTCTTCAGAAATGATTTTCTGAAGAAGCTACTGTGTTAGCGAAACAATTGTCAAATAAAAAAAAAATTAAATAAATTCGTGAAACTCAAAAACAGTGTTTGTTTTTTATCCAGTTATATATTAGTTATATATATATATAGTTTTTAGAAGTCGTTTTTAGACACTCTGCCTCCCTTGTAACATACATATATATTGTCAAAGTCTTGACCCCCAAATTCTCAGGTCACACTAATTTTATGTTTTTTTCTAAATAAATAAATTTTATTAAACAATTTAGTAAAGCAAAATTTGTATTTTTGTATTATGATAATTAAAAATTAAAAATTTAATAATTAAAAAAACAAATCAAAAACATATTTTAAATACCTATTGGAACAAAAAATATTTGTTTGGTATGACCCCTTATGTGATTTGTCCTATTCTCATTTATTATTTATAATTTATAATTATAATTAATTAGGTATTAATTATGAACAAGTAATTAATTCATGATTAATAATAAATTTAAGACAACCACTATGCTTGATAATGATACTGTACTGTATACTGTAACAAACATCGCCGCAATTTATGATTAATGCAATATAAAAAACCTCAAATATTGGCTAATAGCATAATACATACATTTTCAAACATCATGCATGTTCACCAAACAGCGAATTTCGGAAACGGAATATGAAATTAGACACCGATTATGTTTATAAACGTATAAGAAGAAAAATCTAACAAAATTGATTTTTTTCATTACAGCGCCATCTATTACAAATATGAAAAAATGTTTTAGACAAAATCTACCTATTTTTAGTTGAATGATCCGAATCTGCAATAAAAAATAGGGTGTTCCATTTAAAATTTTAAAGTTATCCCCTGTCCCCCCTATAAGGAGGACAGTAGAGGACCAATTTTAGTACTGGTTGATTTCCCCCCTCAAATCATTTAATTTTTATTTTAAACATTTAAACAAAATGCATACTAACTGAGATATTTCAAAGTTTCAAGCTAAATGACTCACCCTGTATATTTGATCTGAAGATAGTAATTATTATTGTAATAAAAAAATATATTAATAACACTGTGAAACACAAAAAATGAACTGGGATCAAATCTGAAAAAATCGAATCTAGGCAACCCCTAAAACAAATCCTTTAAGGGGTTTTACCAGTTTAGCTCGAATAATGGAGATATATAAAAGCCCCTAGAACTTAAAAAATATGAATTTTATAGAAAAATGCTCGGACACGTCGATTTTTATTTTATAAGACGCAATTTTCAGTTGATTTTGAAATTTTTATTTTTTCACAGATTCACCCCCAGCCACCCCACTTTTTTTAAAAGAAAACCGACCCTTTGTTATACCGAAAAAGTCGTAAAAAGTTAAAAAAGTGGAACAGTTTTTGAGATATAGTCAATTTTCCATTTAATATGGAATTGACTATATCTCAAAAACTGTTCTACTTTTTTAAATTTTGACGGTATTTTCTGATTCAGGGGAAAATTTTACATGAGAATAGGCTGTTAAATTTTGTGATACCATGGTATTTCATGGTTAACCATGGCACAAGTGAAAAAGCAGCCACTATTAACTATTAAATTAGTTACTTTTGACTAATTCATTTTTAGAGAGTACATTACCTGTTATTTAAGGTATAACAAAGCAAAGGGTCGGTTTTCTTAAAAAAAAAAAAGTGGGGTGGCTGGGGGTGAATCTGTGAAAAAATAAAAATTTCAAAATCAACTGAAAATTGCGTCATATAAAATAAAAATCGACGTGTCCGAGCATTTTTCTATAAAATTCATATTTTTTAAGTTCTAGGGGCTTTTATATATCTCCATTATTCGAGCTAAACTAGCAAAACCCCTTTAAAGATTAGTTTTGGGGGTTGCATAGATTCGATTTTTCCACATTTCATCCCAGTTAAAATTGTAAGGTCAAAATTTGTCGCACAGTGTAATTATTGTGCAATAATGTTAATATTTTACATTGTTTTATGTGTTATATAAATTAAGGGTTATTTTATAAAGTTTATTTTGCAAAATGTTTTTTATTTATACTTAATGAGATACTTAATTTAAATATGGAAAGGTACCTAAATAAAAACCTTAATAAAACCACAATGGATTGTGAATAAAACATAATTATGTATTGTTTAATGTTACCTTCTAATGTAAGCAGAACTGCAGATGAAGTGCTTGGTTTTGAGGCAGGCGACGTTTTGCCTCGCCTCAAGTCTGGTTCCTCGGATATTGGTGACGAGTCGAGTTTCCGTTTCCGTTGAGCATTACCAATTGGTACATCCGGCAACAAATTCACATCACATGGATCTAACAACATTCCAAACGCCAACTCAGTTTTGGTAATGTCGTAGTAAGTGTCTATATCAAGAGTTTGAAGCATTTTAATAGCTTCTTCATAGGTATCTGTAGATAAAATTAAAATAATAAAATTTCTATAATTTGTAAAAAAGTAACCATCACCTGCTTCATGTAAAACAACAAAGTCGTAAAGTAACCAGGAATCCAGCGGCTCCGATTGCATCATAACGTGGCGATGAATTTCCTTAATTTGGTCGTCATTTCCTAATGGGAAGGGTGGGTAGTAAACATAGTTCGTGTCTGGGTTTTCTACGGACGACCTCAAGTATGTCGAACTGACAATCGCCACGGACTTTAAGGCAGCTTTCGCAACAATCTTAATGTTTTTGAGTTGAACAATAAGAAAGGCCTTGCTTATAAAAACTATCGGCGGACTCATGTTGGGCTGCGAAATTCAAGATTGTGAGTGTTAGTTACTAATCAGAGTTTCAAAAATGTAAATGTAAAAAATAATGAAATCGTCATTCTTTATTGGTAATGTAGTTTGAATACAATAATCACATTAAAAAATTAATGAGTAATGTCGAACAATCATATACCTATAAAGCCGGATTTATAGTTCTAAAACGTAGCCGTAGTCGTTGCAGTTGCAGTTGCAGTAGGGGCAAAACAGTCTGTGATTGGCTGGAGGATCTTTGCAGTAGCATCCAAGGTCGTTGTCGTAAGAGTCATCTTGACCAACTTTTATCTTTTCTTGCGGCAACGACTACTACAGCCAATCAAATTGCAGATATTGCAGAAAAACTGTCAAACTCAAAAACAAGGCTCCCAAACTTAGAACAAACCATGTTTATAAGTAAACTAAACCAAATAAACAAAATAAACGAAGCGAAAATCAACGATACAAAATACTTGAAATCTTTATAAACAGAACAAATGTCACTAAACTATGTTTATAAGTAAACTAAACCAAATAAACAAAGCGAAATTCACCGATACAAAATACTTGAAATGTTTGTAAACAGAACAAATGTCACTACGCGGCCACTACTGCAACCGCTACGCGCTGAACTATAAATTGTAAAAATTAGCTACTTACTTACTGCAACTGCAACGGCTACGGCTACAGCTACGTTTTAGAACTATAAATCCGACTTAACTCCTATACGGATAACCGACAATTCATTCAATGTGCAAAAGTTCTTGCCATGGAGCCTATACAAGGAGCCCGAACTTCATGTAAACAAGAATCTTCCTAAGATAAGAGGGCGCTAGTGTACTACCGGTCCAAAACAGTAGAGTGGTATAACCAGAGATGGCGCCACTACCTACCACTTATTATTGTGGAAATAATTGAGGTTATGCAACTGTCAGTTTATCGCTTTTTGAAAACAATGTACACATGTACCTGGTTTTGTGTATAAAGGTCTTAATTTACAATAAATTTATATCAAATTTAACATTGGAATTCATGTTGGACTTTCTGATGTAGAGTATAGTACAGTTTTTTATAAATACGTGTTTTTTTCTATAAAAGAATGTCGTGTGATGCTAAATCGTGTAAAACCATAAACTAACAGAATATTAAATCCATATGGTATTTATTTTTAGTTTTATAGGTAGATGGCTTAAATAAAAGTTCAATATAAACAAATAAAGGTGGAAATTATTAAATATGCTGTTTACTCATTTTATACATACATTTTTATTTAAATTAAATTTAAATTATTAAATAGCGGTGTATTTCTAACCTGGAAATCTAATTTTGCCTCTCCAGAGTCGTAAAATCACTTCACAGATTATAAAGAATCACTTATATTTCATAACCAAAACCTATTTATTTTGCTTCTCCAGAGTCGTAAAATCACTTCACAGATTATAAAGAATCACTTATATTTCACAACCAAAACCTATTTATTAGAATCTACCTACCAGGTACAGCCATAAATAACAAAACGATTCGTACGTCAAAACATTATTGCAAATCAATTGTCAAAATTACTTGCTTACTTCACATGTATTTTTGATACTATTTTCACGTCATACGGACGCATTGACAAACAGCGCCGCTGGTGGTGAAAAAAAAAGACTTAAATTGTGCAATTTAGTGGACAGGTTTTGTCAATTTTCCCTATTAAGTTCGGGCTCCTTGTGTAGGCTCCATGGTTCTTGCTGTAAAAGAAAGATGCCCTTATTTCAATTGTTAAATGGGAACTTTTGCGCATGTGCGCCACGCCCGGTTTTTTAAATTCGCCAAATCAAAAAATTCTTTTGCTTGTCATTTTCTTATAACCTAATATTTATAACCTCTTTGGTCGAAAACATTTTTTTTGTTTTGTATTTTCTACTTTACCAAAAAGGTCCCAGGTAACCTTATGTTCTGTGCAGGTAACCAAACGTGACTAACATTTTTAAATGTGACGTTAACGTGGCCAATATCTTAACTGGTTTCCAGAAGCAAAAAAGCACCAAAACAGCTATGGCAAATCTATTAAATTTCATACAAACTAAAATGGATAAAGGAAAATGTGTAACTGCTCTTATATTAGACTTTAAAAAGGCGTTTGACACAGTAGAACCGTCAATATTAATAAAAAAATTAAAACAAATGGGAGTGGCAGGGAAAGCGCTTGAACTATTCAGATCTTATATAACAAATAGAAAGCAGTACACAAAAGTTGGAAGCGAAGTCAGTGAATGGGAAAACATAAATTTTGGGGTACCCCAAGGATCCATTTTGGGTCCTTACCTATACTTATTATATATAAATGACCTGGATCTGTACAATTTTTCTGGTAAGATAATGATATATGCGGATGATACTGCGTTTTTCTATGTAAATAATGACAACAAAACATCGCAAGAACAAATTCAAAATGACATTAACAAACTATAGTTTATCGTTAATTTGTTTGTGTTTGTCCATTTAAGTATACTTAAATGGACAAACACAAACAAATTAACGATAAACAGCAAAAAATTTTATATGATACATTTTGAAAACAAAATAAAAAACCATAACCTAAATATAAAAATCGGAAATGATGCTATTAGCGAAGAAACAAAAATTAAATACTTAGGTCTTATACTTAACAAAAATTTAAAGTGGACATCACACATAAGAGCTCAAAACAAAAAAATGTCATATTATAAGGGACTAGCGCATAAGGTAGCTGATGTACTGCATGAAAAGGAAAGAAAACTGATATATGAAGCCTATATTAAAAGCAAGCTGACTTACCTAATATCATTCTGGGCAACAGGAAACAAAAAAGAATTAGACAAATTGCAAAGAAGCCAAAATAAACTATTAAAAGTTTTGCACAGACTACCAAGGCATACTGCAACAACTGAAGTATACCGTAAAACAAAAACCTTAACAATAGAAGAACTTAGAAAGCTGGAGACCATAAAATTGGTAAGGAAAATTTTAAACAAACAAATCCAAGACGAAGATATAGAAATAACAACAAGAGCCGATGTACATCAATACAGCACCAGAGGAAATCAAGAACTAAATTTTGTCACACATAAAACCAAAATAGGCGAAAAACGAATACTTACAGAAGGCATCAAAATATACAACAAATTACCAAACGAGATCAAACAGCAAAATGAAACAGAGTTTGTTAAGAGTGTCAAGCAATATTTAGTGGACCAAAGACAAGATGACCCATGTATAATTTAATTATTTATTGCTAAATGTTAATTTTAAATTTATTTGTAAATTACATATCTGTCAAAGCCCATTTCGGCTATTTGGATATTACTTTTCAATAAAAAAAAAATAACTATAAAGTTGTGACCTATATATCTTTAACGAAAATTAATAATTTTGGAGATGTCGATTTGATATAGAATCTGCCTTTACCAATGCTTTCACGATTTTCCATAGACTTACTTTGCTAAATTAATCGTTATATAAACGTGACTTTATTGTCACGTTATAACGTTATAACAAAAGTCACGGTATACCGTGACTTTAACTTTACGATTTACCGTGTCTTTAGCTACCCTCTTAACTCTTTATTCAATTCGCCATTATTATCAAATAAGTACCTAGGTAGGTATATTGATCTGATTTTGTTCTGTTTAGTGTTCCCGTGCAACTAATTTGTTTTGAAATTGGTTTATTTAAAAATTATTAGCTTGTGTTTAGTTTTTATTATATACCTACCTATTATTTTCTTTGGAAGGCGTTAATTGTAAGTATTGTTTTTCATATTGTATTTCTATAAAAATAATTATAGGTTATGTTAACATTCATTTTATTATTTTAATGCCTTACCTAAATATTTAACAAGTACCTAGGTACCTAAGTGGTTTTGATTTAAAAACTTAATTATGCAAAAATTTTGTTTACTTTATTATGTAGAGGAGGTATATAACTAGTGTCCACATTAATACTTTTTTTCAGCAAAAGAAAAAAGAAATACAGCAAAATGTCGAATAGAAGAAAAAATATTGACTGAATATTAGGGTGGGCCGAAAATCCGCTTTTTTAGAATTTCGTTTAGTAATAGCAAAAATTTTGTTCATTATGTTGTAAAAAAAAAAATGTGTAAAGATTAAAATTTTCGATCAACATCCTAGGCTCGCCCAACGCAATTAAAGATCAAAATGTTCAAAAAAAAATTTTTCTTAACTTATTTTGATCGGAAATTTTATGCTCTACACAAAATTACTTCAGATGGATAGTTTCAGAAATTTGTTGTAAAAAAAAATTGTGTAAAAGATTAAAATTTTCGATCATCATCCTAGGCTCGCCCAACGCGTTGCAACGCAACTAAAGATCAAAATGTTAAAAAAAAAATTTTCCTAACTTATTTCGATCGGAAATTTTATGCTCTACAAAAAAGGTCCTTACACAAAATTACTTCAGATGGATAGTTTCAGAAATAAACCCGATTTTAGTATCAACATTTTTTGAACATTTTGATCTTTAATTGCGTTGGGCGAGCCTAGGATGTTGATCGAAAAATTTAATCTTTTACACAAAATTTGTTTACAACATAATAAACAAAATTTTTGCTATTACTAAACGAAATTCTAAAAAAGCGGATTTTCGGCCCACCCTACTGAATATGCTTTAGAAAATTATTTATTTGGTTTTTATCCTTTTGAAGAAGAATATATTTTTTTAGAGTTATTTATTTAGTTTTTTATTGTTTTTATAATTTGGTTTAAGAAATATATTGTTTTGTTGAAGGAATTATTATTAATTAATCATAAATTCTTCTGAAACCTGTCCCATTTCAGTGTTTCGGCTTATTTAATTTTTTAAAATATACATATAGCTATAGCTTACTATAGTAAAAATTTAGGACTAATTCCAGCAATCTGAGACTTGAGCAGATTAGTTAAAGACAGCTGTTACTAGTCACTAGTCGCGACTGGGGGATTTGGGGTATACTGATATCTTAGTTATTAGACATGGGACCCAAA